GACAGCTGCGTTGGAATGTGTCGAGCGTAACGTGAGTGATACGACTCCTCGTGTCCGAGTACACTCCTTGCCTGCAATGCTAGTGATGATGACAATACCTGAGTATTGACGAGGGATGTTGAGCTGCCGAATGAGATTCTCCGAGACGAAGGTGAGCTCGGATCCTGTGTCAATGAGCAGACGCGCTGAGTGATGCGTTGACGATGAGTTGACTAATGCCAAGGCTGTGGCGAGCAGAGTCGAGCAGGATGAGCGGACGGGTGAGCTGGTCTCGACGACTGCACCGACTCTTCAATTAGCGGGAGTGGCCGATGACCCACCGGACTTCTGAGCTGCCGATGAGGCTGTCTGTGTACCGTGCAGCATTGTATGGTGCCGCCCCGAGCAGGTCTTACAGCCTCGTTGAGACTTACATGCGCGCACACTATGACGTCCCAGGCAATTGAAGCACAACCGCTTCTGTATCGCCACCGTGTACCGCTCGGATGGTGGTAGCTCCCGGAATTTACCACACGTGACTATGAAATGCTGCGCTCCGCAGCAGTCACACGGGTAGGATGTATCGCCTTGGTGAGCAGACTGATGAGTAGCCTGATGAGCTGTCGTCTTCTTCGGTGGTGAGGATGCTCCGCGGGGACCAGGATGAGCTGTCGATGTTTCTATCCGCTCGAGAGCCCGTATTTTCGTCGTCAAAAAATCCTTGAGCTTCTCGAACGTGGGGTAGTCACGCGTAGCGCCAATAGAGCTCTCCCACTGCTCGTGTGTCACGCGATCCAGGAGTCGCGTGACATGATAGACTACCGCGCAATCCCCGAGCTTGTCCGTAACCTCGAGGGCCTCCAGTCCCTTGAGCGCCTCCCTGACTCCCGAAACAAGCCGATCCAAGGACGCCGCCTTCCTTGGCACCGGGGTTGAGCTGGCGAACAATTTGTCAAGGCAGGCTTGTATGAGCAGGCGTTTGTTCTCATACCGCTCCTTGAGTAACTCCCAGGACGGCATGAGTGAGTCTCCGGACATGAGAAATCCTGCGATCAGCTGAGCTGGCGCGCCTTCCACCGACGAACGGAGGTAGTGAAGTCGCTCGACGTTCGTGAGCTGCTCGTTCTGCATGATCAGGCTGGTGAAGAGATCTCTGAAAGCAGGCCACGCGGCATACTCCCCCGTAAACTTGGGGAGTGAGATGTCCGGCAAGCGTGAGAGCGTCTGCCGAGCCTCGCCGGCCGATGAGCTAGTCTGTTGTTGAGCGGGCTGAGCTGCCAATGCGTGACGAAGCACGCCGATGACTCGTCGCGCCTGCATGTAGCATCGCAACTCAGCCTGGTGAGCGTTCTCGGCGAAGTACTCATGGTGAGTAAGCGTCGTAGGCCATGATACCTCGAAATAGGCGTGCTCCTTTACGAACGCCTTGTGAGTCTCCTCGATCAGGTTCTGGATCTGCGAGACCTCCTCGTTTGATGTCTCCGCTGGGACCTCCGGCAGGGATTCGGTGAACTCCCTGAGAGCAGCAATCCGGCCCATCTGCGCC